TGGTTTTGAAGAAGACTAAAAAAAAAAAAAAAAAAAAAAAAGACCCACAATGCCTACCAGATAAATTAGAGGGTGCAAAATTATAAGTCATTCCTTTTTCTTTATGATTTGCTTTCAAAGAACCAGAGTGTAATTTGTGAACTTTTAAAGTGGCCACGATCAATTGTCAGCACAGATGTTTTGTTCTGGCCTGTCATTCGATCTGGTGATCATGGCTCCATGTTGAAAAGTGTTTTAACAAATCAGCTAAACAAGGGTCAGGCATAACAGAGGTAGATCTAAATCAATCTATAAAGTCATGTTGTTCAAAACTTCTTCAAAGACAGCAAAGGTACTGAGAGATGCAACGTCCTACAGACAGGTGTTTTACATTTTAAGTTGATTTAACTCTGTGGGACTCGCCTCGAAAGAGGAGCGAAGGCGTGAAAAAAAAAAATAATAAAGAAAATTTCTGATTCATGGGTCAGAGTCAAATTTTTTACATTAAAATAAAATCTGCAGTTAAAAATGAGTGAAAAGGCAACAAAAAACCCCAAAGGGTACTTTTTTAAACATCTTTAGTATTAAGTTATTTATCAAGATGAATTAATCTTTTTTTTGCAGGAAAGTGTGAGTGTTTTGAAACCAAACTTAAATCTGTTGGGGTTCACGTCTAATTGTCATTTAAATGAAACGTATTCACTTCCAGGCTGTGAACTCACCTCGTCGATGTAGAAGTCAAATATCTGCAGGAGCTGGTTCCCATTCTTCGTCATTTCTGGAATCTCGATGTTTAGCTGCAGATCTCTCACCGGGAAATACCCAAGGTTCTGAATCTGAGAGCCACACAGAGAGAAGGAGAGAGAGAGGGGAATGGTGTGAAACGTTTCCAGGCAGCGTTTTCCTGTATGACGCATTAAAAATAATCGGGTGAGAAAAAAATTCCTTCTCACCTGGAATGTGAAGTTGAAAGGAGGGCCGATAACTCCGGGCTCCTCCAGCGAGAGCTCTGGTTTGATCTCGTAGCGCGTCGGGTTCGAGTCCCTTTTGATGCAAGCAGTAAAAACCAACAGAGGCACCCCACAGTTTTAAGTATTTTCTTTTTGTTTAAGTTTAGATTCCATTTTCACTTGAACTTAGCAAATATATTCTGTATTTCCCCAAGTATAAATAAATAAATAACAGCAATAACTTCAGCAAAGTTACCCGTTTGGTGAGAAGTTAAGGAATTTGACAAACCTGGTGAAGAGAAGGTCTCCCTCATAACTCAGTGAGTAATAAATGTCATTAACATTGTCAGCCCTGTTCACTTCCTCGCCGTCGCTGTAGAGAGAGCGAGTGCACAGCTTTTGTCTTTGTTGAACGTAGAAAACCATGTTTAGAAGAGATCCGTTACATGGAGAAAGTGTGCAGCTTGTACCTGGTGGCCTCCAGCAGAACTCTGAGGTGGTCCAGGAAGACGGCACGACTGAACTCGAACTCCAGGCGAAACGACACCTGCAGCAGCGAAACAAAAAAAGAAAATAATTCTTTCTAAAACCCTGCAGATACAAAAGTGCATCAAATTGAAGTAGATAAGAAGTTGAGAAGTGAATTAATTTCAGTAACGTCACTCAAAAAGTGAAACTCGCATTCATGACAAAGCAATGCACGTCAAGCGATTATTTACCGTTTTGAACATTTATGCAGCTAATAAAAAACATTTATTTTCTCAGTATATTCAAATATTGCATAAGTCCAGTTAAAGACACACTACAGAGAGGTCGGCCTTTTGAAAGGCACGTCTACGTACTAAACAGCCATAAGACCAGCAGACGACCTGGCTTCTCAAATCACCACCGAGTGTGGAGGCTTTTCACTGGTCCTCAGTTTGGATCCTGGATCATTTTCCACTCTTCCTTCAGACTTTATGTTCATCATTTTCTAGTGCATTACACACTTTACATCCACCTCTAAGTGTCTGCTTCAGGAGTGGCTTAACTCAGCTCTTAACTCTGGACTTGGTATTTTAAAAAAGACTTTTTCCTTCCACTGAATGTTCTACTAATATGCTTGGATACATCCTTTTGTGAACAACCAGGTTCTTTCACAATGACCCTTTACTGTCTACCCTCCATCCATCGGGTGTCTAAAGGAGAGCCACCAGTCCTCCTCATGATTGTGTCGGTCACAAGATAACATTTATGTTTTGTTGTTTTTTTCTGTCATATTTAAATTTCTGAAGTTGAATCTGGCGTTTTCATCGGCTCTAAGTCGAAAGCATCCAAATAAATAAAGATAAATGCATGAAGCTTTCACTGTCTGTATACTGAATGCTAATATTCTACAGTCATTCCTTTTGGAAATGGATCGTTGATATAAATAGGCTTTTTGGTGATTTTCTGATTAACTGAGGCGCGTCAGTAAGTCAGAAATGTCTCCACAAGCTGTTTTTACAGATCTACGCTTTGTAAAGGCTCTGAATTATGGATTTAGCATAAACATATCCTGCTGTATTCTCTGGATTTAACCCCAGAAAGTCGTTCACACAGTGGGTGCTACTTAAAGACAGCAGGGGGAAAATCCCTTTAGTTCAGGGCGTTTCAAAACTCTTACAGGGATCAAACAGAAACAGAGACGGAAAAAGAGAGCGATAAGAATATGTTCCCGAACAAAAAGCAAAAACAAACCGGGGTCTGTCAAGCAGCGACGGTCCGATCGGCGCACAGAGCAGGAGCGGAGTCGAGTCGAGCATTGTTTACAATCCTCTGTGGCATAATGAAATCCTGATGGATCCAGTCTGACCACAGAGGAATTCACAACAAGGTTACCGGAGCTTCCCTCCTCCACGTAAAGGCTCGTCTGAGACAAACCGCAGACGCAGCGTGAAGACTGTGACCTTACTGTATTTATTAAGACCAAACAAATGTGACGAGCACGCTACGACTGATGAGTTATGTTCCTTTCATTACAAAAACCTGAAACGAAACACGCAGAAACAAATGCTATCTCGGTTTCCTCCCGCAGTCTGATAAACATGCTCGTCATATTAAGTGGAGATTTTTTAAAAATCGCCTCCAGCTCCGTTTGTTTGGATCTGTGTTGGACTGCTGACCTGTTTTCAGGCACCATGCCCCCTGAAAACTGAACAATGATGGATGGATTTTTAACTACGACACGTCAATAATGTGTGCAGTGAAAAAAGATAAGCATCCCTTTGGATGGTTTTAAAATTGTAATTTTGTTAAATATGTTCAGAACCTTTTTGGACATAAATAACGTAAAATCCACTGTGCAAACATATTAGGTCGTTGTACACCTACTGCGCCTTACAGAAGTACTAATACCCCCATGAATCTTTCACTCTTTGGCACTTTGCAAACCTCCATGAATTAAATTGGAATTTCCTATTATTGACCAAATTGTAAGTAATGTCTTATTGGGAAGTGGAAGTGGAAGGAAAACTGCATGTTTTTGCTAGTTTTGGTGCAAAAACCACCTGTAGGGATTTTATGCCTACAGCAGAACATCTGCAGGATCTGAGCGTGTTTGTGATTCTTCTTGGCAAAATAGCTCCAACTCAAAAACTGGATTTACTGAAAGGAATGTGTGAAGATGATTTTCTTCAGAGCTCAGTAATATAAGGGTTTTGACTAGACCGTTGTAACAATTAAACCAGGGATGTGAAAAACCAGTCGTCATGATGCCGTTTGTTCAGTAATGTCCTGTAACAAAACTCAGGGATCCCTGCAAACGTTGGTTTTTATCATGAAACAATGCTTACTTAATTAAATACACTTGAACTGAATGGAATACAGTGATGCTTGTTGTTGTAATGTGACATAAGTGTTAAAAAATGTTGTAATATTTAGACTTATTTTTTAAAACTGACTTCTGTTCAACTTTAACTAGAGTTAATGGTAGAGAAATCCGTCTCTCATTGCTCTGTGAATAAAGATGCATTTGAGAAAATTTGTTTTTGCCCTGGGAATATGAAAACATCTTTCAACTGCATGTACAAAAAAACTTGGACTTTGAAATAAAAAAATAAAAAAATAAATGTTGATGATAGTAGCTAACACGCTGTCATAGCCAGTCTAAATTAAAATGTATGGTGTCTATGCTAGTCCTGCAGGAACACTTCAATGCTAAATAGCTTTATTCTGCATCAATTGAAGTCTTTGCCCAAATCATCTGACAATATTCAAGCTGGGAGATAATTAAAGTTCTTACTACTAGCTTAATCACATCAGCTGGCAGAAATGTATCTCAATAAAGCCAAAACCCTACCCATACTCCCTACAACAGCTTCTGTGTCCTGACCAAGACAATTTGTTATCCGTGTCTCTTTTCTTTTTTCCCCACTGGTCTCTTTCTTGTTTTCTTTTCTCCAACCACAATGCCTCCGAAAGAGGAAGGCTGACCGGCACTGTGAAGATTCCTGCTACAAGCTCGGGGAAAAAAAACGAAACAATCTCTGCAGTGGGGACATAAACTGGAGTGAAACATGCTGAGAGGGGAATCTTAATTAAACAAAGACACCAACTAATGAGCACCAGTAGGTGCAAACTACGAGTGGATCCACAAGAAGCTGACCAGGACGGCCACCAACGTGTGCACAACGTTAAAGTTTAAAGTTCACAGTTCACAGTATTTTTTTTTTAATCTTTTTTGTATTCTGCACTGGAGTGAAGTAACCAAAGAAGGCAAAACTGCCTTTTTCCTAAAAAAAAAAAGGAAAAGAAAAAAGAAGAAGCTTGCATCAAAGTTCCTATTTTCCTTCAGTGAAAGAGTGGTTCGGACTGGTTTGGCAGTTGCCCAGGTGTACAATCATCCTTGTTTAACATTCACCACATTTTTAAAAGGAACTTGACCAGAGCAGTCCAGCTTTGTGGCTCTGGATGCTGTTCAGGCCGAATGAGCGGGTATGAATCACTCCGGGAGATTTAAAGGGTGCTCCAGGTTCAGCTGCCGGAGAGCCCCGGCGCAGAGATGCTGGATGCTTTGTTGCCCCGGCGACGAGCATTGTTTGCTATAAATACATGGTTTGAGCTTCTTCCTTTATTTCTCCACAAAAGATTTTACGTGAATATGGAAAGCGAGGGAGATTATCATCACCACATGAGCAGAAAAGACGGGTTTTAGACATAAAAAGAGGAGTTTAGGTGCTTTTATATGAACGGCGAGATAAAAGACCAATGTCATCCTTATCTGGGTTCGTCCAAACATCACCTTCTAAATAATAAAGTTAAGTCTCTTCCCTTTAAAAAAAAAAAAAAAAAAGAACACACACAACAATGTGGAGTCCCGTAAATAGTGCTGACTTTAAAGCTGAGTGGAGAGGGTTAGAAACAGCAGCATTGACAGTAAAATCAGAAACAGATGAGGGAAAAATAAGATCTCAACATTTTTCTCTCCATTTCACCTGGTGCCACAGTGATGAAGCAAAGGGGAGAAAAAAAGAAAATCGTGTTTCCTGCACCAGGTTAGTGTTTATGGGGGGGATGGAGGACTGGCTGGTGATCTCCAGATATCGCTTAGCAATAGGTGGGGCAGAGCACTAAGGACAGAACCAGTCACACAAATATTCACTGCATGGGGAGAACATGAAAACTCCATGAAGAGAAGCCAAAAATTATTAAATAAAAATTAATAACAAAAAGCTTTGTGCAAAAATAAAAACTAAACACAAGCCACAGTTTTCTAGATTGCACAGCCACCGTTAGCAGCATTTACTTGAATTAGTTATTCTGTGTCTCATTGTTGTGGAGACATTTTTACTTGCTTTCCATCCCATTGTTGCTCCAGTTCATCGAGGTTTGCAGACATTCTTTCTGGCTGCCTACAGTACATATAAAGTGTTTCCAGGCAGAGGAACAACTTAATAGAGAGGTAAAATCACTCATACAGCTTTCACTTAAACTGCGACAATATTTGTAATTTTTTTTTTGTATCATCTTTAGCTAATTTTTTTTAACTGAGCTGTTTTTCTTCAGTTACTATGACCGGAAGAATTTAACCTTATTTTACTTTCATACTGTGCTGTTTCTATTCACTTCCTGCTTGCAAATTTCTCACTTGTGGGACTAAGAAAGAATTACCTTAATTTCTAAATCTCTTTAGTTAGAAAACTGGTTACTGCAGCTGTGTATGGCTAATATCTACTGAAAGATCACAACCTGCAACTTATGACTATTTTCTTTGTTTGAAAATCCATTATGCATTTGCATAAATCACTATGCCATTTTTCTTTTTTAATTATTAGCAGTCTTTAAGTGGACATGAAATAGGGAGGCGAGAGAATCGGAGACATGCAGCGGATGCCCCGAGATCTGGAGTCAAACCCAGGACCCAGTCTCATCAGCTGAGCCACCCGGCGCTCCCATCACGCCGTTTTTAAGACTCTATTCAAGACAGCAGAAATTAGCTTGGTTCAGCTGAAGAACTGACTCTTTTGCTTCTCTTTTGTTATCTACAACGAGTAATATGTTCACTGTTTATCAGCTTCTTAACAGACCCGATTTTGGCAAGACACTACTCACCTATAAACAAAGCTTGACTGACAAATCCTAGCCAGGAACTTTCTAAAACTTGAATGTTTTTTTGGGAAAAAAAAAAAAAAAAAAAAAAAAAAAAAAAAAAAAATCACTGCCATCTAATTCTAAGGAATGTTTAAAATCTCTTCAAGGCTTCGTTTTTAAAGCTCTAATTGAAATTGTACTGTGCAACCTTCTTGATTCCAGAGCCGACTGAGTTTTATTTGCTTAAGCAGTTCCTCCTCTTGCTTTGCGGTTGAACTTTCAGATTTAGAGTTCAAGCGGCTAGAAGTGAAGTCGGGAATTAAGAGCTTTAGGGAGAAAAAGGTATTAGGTTGCAGCAATTTAACAGGGTTGTGAGGGATGTTATCTACTCCCAGGCCTATAAATAAATCCCACTTAAATCCATTCTGGATACAAATTAAGATATGAATGCTGATTGCAATCTTGAACGTGTTGTTTGGTTTAATCGAGCTGTTAAATCAGATGCAATAAAAAGAAAATGCAGATGAAGGTCATCTCAAAGCAGCAACTTATGTTTTCAAAGTTATTATCTCTTACAAAATTATTAGTTTTTTTTAGTATGGAATGTGATTTTAAAGTAATTCACATTGTGTTTGTCATACCTGTGATTTGGCTCGCATGAAAGGTGCGCTGACGTTGCAGATCTTCTCATTTCTCTTCTTCTCCTCTGTGCTGCAGTCGATTTTGATTTCTGAGGTGTCCTGAAATAATAGACAACGTTCAGATTTTATCGCACGGAAGAAGACGAAACTGCAGACCAGGTTACAGATCGAGGCGTACCTTCACTATGAGGCTCGAGAAGCGCAGGTTGGGCGTGTATGTGATGTTGACCAGGGCGTTGTAGGCGTTCTCGCCTCTGTTCTCCAGTTTGACGTCCACCACCATCCTCTTTTTGCTTCCCTCAACGACCCGCAGTGACCCTTCCGACCCTGCTCCGCCCTGATGGCGGCAGAAAACGCCTCGAGACTGCACAGGACGAGCACAGAACTGTCTGGGAGACAGTGAAAACAGAAGCCAGAAGTTGAGTTTACGGAGTGCAGGTGGGAGAGAAAATGCTTCTTTTACATATATGCATAATTGTGGCTATAAATTTTGAGACCAACAGAAGTGTTTTCTTTGCAGACTTTACTGTTTCGGTACTGTTACGTGTTTTTGTCAGTGTCTTGTTCTGGTTTCTTTTTCAACCTTTCAACCATCTCTCCAGACATCGACAGCTTCTGATGTTCTAGCCAGAAGCTTAATGTAACTTAGGTGAGTCAACTTTACAATTGATGTTTTTTGTGATGTGAAAGTTATTGTTCATTACTGACTTGCTGTGGATTATTGGGCTAAGGGGCTTTGATCCCATTTATTCATAGACGTATTTTTTTAGGAGAACTATGAGTAAGCAACCATTATCAAGATGATCCGCTGTTGCTGACTCAGGGGTAGTGGAAGGACTCATTGTTTCTTGTTTGGACAGATGTTGCAAACAGTTTGATCCTCCCGCAGTCTTAAGAGACGGGGTCATTTGACCTGACATGCTTTTTACCTTGTGCGTTTTTTTTTTTTTTACAAGGGTTTTCTTTTTGTAGTTTCGGGAACTGACGGTCTTACGGGACACCCCTCATGCCCCTGCTCCCTGCTGTCCGTGTCACATCTAAGTTGTTACAGGATGCATCACCTGAGAAAATAACTTCCCCCAAGTCTCTCAAGTCACATTTCACAACTTCCTGCATAGTCCTTGATGTTTTTCTTATTTAGAAGAAGCCACTTTGTTGCCTTTCTTTACAATATGTTAGCCCTCCTAAAAATTCTGCAGGAACATCCTTAAGCAAGCTTTGCCCTGGTGTCAACCTTTGGCTGAATCATTTTAAGGAGAGGATCCTAAACCTTCCTGAACTTTTTGGAGAATTCCATTCACTTTCCAAACATTTACCCACTGCTACATGTGCCGTGATTATTGTAAGTGTACCCACTTTCGAGTCATCAGGTCGTTTGCGCTCTGCAGCGACAGGTCCGGCATGCAGCGGTCGTCCTCATCACAGCCATTCCAGAAGGGCAGCTGCTCAGACAAATGGATCCCTTTGTTAGCAATTTTACTTTGGCTCAGTCTAATAATTGTTCATCAACTTAAAAGTATCCTCACCTCAGTCTTTACAACGGCAGGCCAGCTGTCATCCAGAACTGGTCCCTCGTCTGTTTCTTCCAGTCCTACTTGCACAGCGAACACTATGGGTCTTGCATAATCCGTGGTCTCCTATATATAAATAAGGAAGCCAGTTCGCTCAAACAGCAATCACTGACATAGGTTCGTCACTACAACTCTTGGCAATGACTCCTATATTTTGCCACAGACTCTCAAGAGCATCTCTGAAGGCATACATTGTTTAAACTCAATAACAACCAAAAGTTAAAGCTCATTTTTCATGAGTGAATTTATTACATTTGTTACTTTTTTATCTGAAGAAACAAAGCAACTGAGAGAAAATGCTGGGTACATGGTAGAATTGGGATTGGTCATAAAGTGTCGGAAAGATCAACCAATCAAATCCTTCATCTATGTAGGTGGGCTTTATAATCACAGTCACTTATGTCTCTGTAGAGAAAAACAATAACAGTTGAGCCTGAGGGCTTCTTCACTGCAGAGTTAGCTGACTTCCCTCAGCAGCAGAGAGGCTGTAACAGAAAGGCTGAAGCCGACCAGCTCAGTGTGGCAATCTGAGTCACACCTTTAACATAATGTCAGAAATTATGGCTAGAAGAAGACTCAGCAAGTGTAGAGCAGAAAGACAAGCATTTGAGTGGCTTTTCAGCTCTTCAGCCTGCGCTGCAGGGTGAATTTTAGTTTTGAAAATGGACGCTACTTATTTTGGAAAAACTTTGCTTAAGTCAGGTAATTTCCAATTAAATTAATGGGACTACGCACTGAAGTTTTCCTAGCATTTAGGAAATTCTAGGAAAACTAAAATTTACCTGGTAAGCTGCTGGACTACTGAGAGACTCATCAGTAAAGGCATAAAAGGAGACAATAGCATATTACTACAATGTACATTTGCCTTATCAAAAGAATGACATACAGTTTCATTATTCATTCTCAGGTGCATAGTTTTCTGTTTTGTTTTGGGGGTTTTTGTCTAAAAACTTCCTTGCTCAGCAACAAGAATGGGGTAAAGGCCATTCTTCTCTGGAAAACAGAACAGAATAACTGGGTGCTGGTTTTAAGTCACAGTCCTGCTGTGGACTTACTGTGAAATTAAAACGAAACCAAAAAATGTGATTGATAAATGACTAATAAGTCTCTCTCTGAATCAATCGTTGTCAATCGAATAAGTTGGAAGGGAAAATGGTAATATTCTTAAATTGTGGCCGAGGACGGCGCAAAATCAATCACAGGACAACCTTTGGACAACCCTGTCCAAAATCTTTGTTTTGAAATAAAGTGTGGTTTAGATTTCATAGATTGTTGTTTCGATCAGTTCTTTGTTTTAGCTTTCTGGTGCTTTCTGTGTGGATGGTTTTGTGTGTTTGGTTACCGTCTTTCATTCTGCATTCAACCAAAGAGTTCCTGAGTGTGATGGTTTGATTAACGGTCAGAGGATTTACCACAAACACTAGAAATGTATTGTTTTTCTGGATGTTAGTTTTCTTTTGCGTATGAATTATTGGACTTCTACAACAGGATCTGATCAGAAGATCTTGCTCACTGAGCCACGGTTTACCACTGTACTTTACTAATGACACTGCAGAAGTACATCATGTTCAGCTGCGTCTATTAGCTAGAAGCAGCAATCGTACGCATCAGAACACATTTAAATGATATAAAGTACAAGAACATCAGAATTTTCCCTACGAATCCTCCTTGTTTGAGATGTCAGTCCTTTGACTATCAATATATAAAATTAACAATCAAAAACATAATTTTGGCTTCATGCCGTCATGTGACTTTGGTTTTCCACCTTGTGAGCCTCACCATGACGTGGAAGTAGATGTGTTCGCAGGCTTCACCTCCAGTAAGCAGCGTCAGGTTTTGAGGCTGCATCTTGCTCGGCTGATCCATCACGGCCCGAGGGTTGAAACGTCTCTCCAAAATGGAGACGTTATACCTGATCCCTGATTGGACCAGAAACGGAATTAGCAGTGGCCACTTCTGTAAATAAACAGTTACATTTTAATTCATAGAAGTTTGGCTGATTGAATAAAATTCATGGAGAATAATATCACTGAAAAAAAAAATAAATAAAAAATCTCTTGACTTAGTGTATTTTATCAACGTGTGACCATCCCATACAGGAATCCAAACTCTGTGGCTTTCCCCAGAACACATTGTGCTAGATGTTATTTGGTTGTGGGCTTATGTTGTAATGGAATGAGGAAAAATCTACTGAGTCTGAAATTATTCATGCATTATGTTTGAGGTCAGCAAGAGAGTTGGAAACCTGCAAGACTCTTAATGCAGAAATGAAATTCATATGTGGAGATATCAGTTATAAAGTTTTGGTTCTTTTTTTTTATGTTACAACTCTAACTTGAAACGTCTAAGGGCTTCACAGCCGATTTCTGTTTTAAAAAAATAAATGTAAAAATCTGGGTCTTTGTTTTGTAGACAATGCTCAGAAATACTGTAAATAGATAAACATAAATGAGATTAACTTCGATCGAGGCAGGAGAAAAATTCGTCAGGCCGCAGGAACCTCTCGATCACCAGAACATCTGCCACGCATTACTCGGTAGACATGACGAAGGGAAAAAAATCAAACAAATGTGTTCTGCAGCATTCAGCCATGAAGGGCAAGATAACTCCCCTTTTCTCTGCCTCTTTTCTGTTCTGGCAAGGCCAGTAGATTTGATGAAGATGTCGCCAGGTCAAAAGTTTAACTCCCCCTGTGCACAATGAGGCGGCGCTCTGATGCTACTGCTGCTAAAACAAATGGTAAGCACAGTAATAACCACACTTCCTGTGGGTCACTTTTGGTGCCACAGCGCTCTTCGTTTTAGGATTACGCCAATTTATCAGCCAGCCGATTTGTCGATTTAATGGCGCCAATTTCCTTAATTTTGGGAAATCGGTGATCGGCCAATACTTACATGTGAGGCCGATCTGATTCCTCGATCTTATCTACCTCAGCACTGGTCTGAGAATCACAGCAATCGGTGCACCCTTGCTTCTTTTTGCGCGCTTTGCAAGAGAGTGGTCAACATTTCTATATTGTGAATAGAAGCAACTGGAGATGCAGATCTATACACAGTTAAAGAAGCATCTGAATGTGGCAGAGTTGTACCGACGTAGCAGTTTTCAAGGCCGCAGCTTCATTTTGGCAGAGAAGAAGCAGCGAGGCCAGAATCTCTTACCGCTAGTAAAGCTTTTTCTCTGGACAGAACGAGCCATTACAGTTTTTACAGGCGGCCAGAACGCAGCAGGGCTTTGCAAGCCTTTATTAAACTTATTTAATCACTTTAATAACCTAATACTTTCAATCAATTTTGAAACAATTATATTTGAATTGTAAAAAAAAAAAAAGGATTTGTTGATCCTAAGGCTAATAAAAGAAGTCAACAGATCTCACGAGTCTAATGGTTGTGTAACTAAACATATTTCTGTAACCTATTTTTGAGTTTCTGACTGAATTACAACAAACATAATAGGTATTACATAAAACAGCTTGGACAACTGATACAGGAGGGAAGGAAGCAGCAAACTGCAGATGTTATCCCTGCATATGATTGTTTTTGCTGGCTCACCTATTTCCTGCGTGGGAGGAATGGCCGTCCTGGCAGTGATGTTGAAGCACACGATCGCTGACATGCAAGTCACGTCTTTGCCACCTCGCTGACAGTCTTTGACAAAGATATTCACCTTGCTGGGCTCAAACCTGACATTGGCGTATATCCGCACAACGCTCCTTGACCTGTGAGGGTCACAAAGGCGGTGAGGCTTAGGAGTGTTTCTGGAAAACATTTTCTGAGAGTTTTAGCGTAAAATAATAATTGCACTAGCAGAGTTTTATATACGGACCAGAGGAGAACGGCAGCACCGAGGGAACCCACTGCCAGGTCCACTAAACCATCGTCGTTCATGTCCATGTTGCCATGGATACTGCGGCCGAAGTACTGCAGGCCCGGAGCCAGATCTACCGCTGCTATTCTCTGGACGACAGACAGCAGACGAAGAATGTGTTTAAATTATTACAACACCAGCTTTTATTGAAAAGAAGAAAGTTTTATTTGTGAAGTAACAAGAACATAATTTCCTAATGATTATTATTATTTATATTACATTACATTAAATATCACCAGCATCTTGGAATAATAAAAGCAAAAAAAAAAAAGGTAATTGAGGACATTTTAAATAATTTTCATTCAGCAGTCTATAAATTTTGTAGTTTTTTTTATTACTTTGTTCAGTGTGATTGATCCCTTTTCAGTCACACTGACTGAATTATTATTCTGCATCTCCTTTCTGCATTTCCTATGTTGCTCAGGATACACTATTGTAACTCCATATTCCAGCTGCATCTGAACTTTTTGCTCTGGTTTCTGTTGCTTTTTTAGCAGCAACTTGTATTTAATTATGGATTTAACTTCTACAGACTAAAGGCCATGAGCCTCCATTTGAGTCTTCAGATAATCAACAGTGACAAGTTAAGTTTTAGTATTGAATCTGTGTTATTTTTCGACACTTAAAAAGACTCTTTTAAAGCCAAAACATTAAATTAAAAAAAATAAATGCAGCAACTTATTAATATAACAAAACACAACTCTGTTTTAATTCAAGGGTGTAAAATTTACAGTGCACTGGACCTTAAGGACAGATCAGAGTAAATTTCTCATGATGGTATAATTTTTCTTCCTGGGCTGAAGTTGAATGCGCCATATATCAACTAGCGCCTCTAGTGGTCAAATGATGAAACAATCATGAGATTAGTCAACCACGTCTAGCGTCTGTCATCCTGAGTTGAGTAAATCTTCATCAGTGCAGACAGTGTCTGCTGATGTTACTGCTGTGACATTTTCATTGAGCTTGTGTAAACTGTCCTGTCCAGTTCCACTAAACCTTTGCATTTTGTGGTAATAAGTATATCTTAGCTTGGTGGTTTCCACCACGCTGAAAATGCTTTTATTTTTTCAACAAACTCAAGATGATGTGGTACATAATTTTAAATATGTAGATAAATCACAAGTAAAGAAACGTTTCAAGCTTAAAAAAAATCTCAGTTCAAAGAAATCCAACCTAACCCTATGTGAACAACATTAGTTATTGTCTGTTATTAACTGGCATATTCACAGATACTTGAAGTAACGTCTGATAATGTCAGGCTCACGAATGTATTTTAGGCATTTCAAATTCAGTAGAAGTGTAAATGCGTTTGGAAAAAAAAAGTAAAACATAAAAAACTTATGTTCATCTGTAATTTTTTACGGATGCCCTACCTGTTTGTATTTTCGTAGTATTCTGTTGTGGTGGCTAAAGAAAACGTAAATGGCGCCTTTGTGGTCGTCTTCCAGCGGAGCTCCCACCACCAGGTCGTTGAAGCCGTCGCCATTGAGATCAGGGACCGGAGCGAGAGACGAGCCGAAGCGAGCGTTCTGGCCGCCGTTGTGGATCTCCAACGCTCCTTCTGGGACAAAACGATTCTGAGCCGAGAAGGAAAAAGGTACATGTATCAAATAAACCATTAGAGAAATCTTGCCCACAATTGGTATTGATTGTGGCACAGTTTTAAAAATATGGCATTTGATCGACTAATAAACTAGTTGATTTGAGCAACATTTGCTTTGGACGTAAGCTAAAATGTGACTTAAATGCCCTTTCTATAAAAATACAGCTTGCACTTCTATGTCTTTTGAATGTTTCCCATCAAAGGTTTTGTTGTCTACATATAGAGAAAGACTAGATTTGTGCTGTGTAAAAATATCCTGATAAGCAGCAACATCAAAACCAGGAGCCTGACAGGCTGCAGGTCTTCTTTAGCTGCGACTCGTTGAACTCCAGAGGATCTCTGTCGATGTGTTGCACACGCAGATCTTACCAGTAGATCCTTTAAGTCTTGTCTACGATATGGAGCCTACGTAGACTGGATGTTCACATTCCAGACATGTTGGAAAACATCCAGCTGGTCAGAATTAGGAGACCAGCTTAACGCCTCTGCCTGTTTTTGATGTTCAGCTAAAGAGCGGAGTAGTTTCAGACATCCTGCCGTCACCGCTGCAAAAAGCCACTTTTTAGATTTAGAGTGGTCAACAAAAATATTTAGGTGGGTACCTAATGAAAACAAACTAGCATCTTTTGTCTTAAAAGTTCCATAAAACACAGCATCTTTTTTTACTACAACCTTTGCTCCATGCAAAAAATATCACTCATCACATTCTAAAAAAAACTATGTGAAGTCTGTATGTGGTGCCAAAATGTAGTCACTGAATCCCTGGTAATAGCCAGCCTTGCACTTACAAGTTGCTAAAATCAATGATTGTACTTCACCTCACCAAATTTATTTCGGGAGACTCTGTCTGCTGTGAACAAGAGTCAACATGGTAAACTGAACAAATAGCAATTTATGCTCCTTTTCGTGCTATATGCTCCAGCAACAAGGTAAGCAATGTTTTTTTACAACCAGTGCGTATTGTTAAGAATCTGGCAAGATGGTGTTTTGGATAATCATAAAAAAGACCCAGATTCTACAGATTAAAAACAAAAGTCTCACATACTGACGTCTTTTTAACGAGGACACACTGATCAATGGCGAAGAAGATTCAAAGATGTGATGGTCACAGACAAAAACGAGGGGAAGCATTTATTAAGTTTATATATCATAAAAACACATGTACCCAAGTGAAACAGCAAGTAAGCTCAATTTTAATCAGTTGAGTGTTGGCCAAAAATTACCCTTCAAAATAGCATTTTGACTTTTTGTTTCTCAAAGAAAATCATATCCTACATGTAGGAACTGTATGTGTTCTGTTCGTTTCCCAGTAGAACGCTGATCGGGATGTGAAAGGACCCTCCATCCTTGGATTGAAACGTTTTAACGAGAGAAAGAAAGTTATTGTGCTTTGCATTCATTAGAGTTTATTGCATCAATTATCTTCAAACCATTGCTGATACAGAAAACGCAGACCACTTATTTTCTATCTTTTTTTTTTTTTTTTCTTTTTTAACAGAATACCGAGTTTGGATTAACATCTGTGTTTTGCACATAACTCTTTGTTTTGCTTTTCTTTGAACTGAAACTTCAGGCACTAAAAAAAAAATCTAAAGAATCTCACCTTTGGGTTCTGAGAGGGAAAGAAGAAAGCATTACAGCCAAAGATATTTATTTGAAGTTCTATTCTTAGGAAGTGCTAAGGCCCATGGAAGATAACTGTGACTTCAGAGGCAAGCAGACTGCTGGAAAAAGTCTCAGACAAAAGTCTGAGAAAAAGGAACCGGAGTCCATTAGTAGTCATCCATATCATTGCTCTATTTGGCATCAAACAGTCATACAGTAATAAAACTCATGGCTGCCAGATTAAACATGAGCTCACTTGTTTTTTCAGTTGTGTGAATGCAAGCGAAGTTGACTTAAATGGAGGCTTTTACTTCTCAGCTACCTGATGTGAGGATATGTGACAAACTGGGAGATTTATAAAGAAACAGGGAAACATAATGCTGTTTAATTTAAGACATATGGTTTGTGAGGAGCCACCGAGAGGTCACGAATGGTCCACAGCGAGACAGCCGAACGTGTCAGACGATATAATGTGTGGAATATTATTTTTCATCCACTGCCAGATTTCAGGACACACTGTGCAGAGATTGAAATCGACTTTGCTGTACCTGTCCTAAAAGCTCCTTCTCTACTCCAACCTCACATTTTCAATACTCCTTATTTACACACATAGTTTAAATTTAGTAATTTAAATCGTGTGTTTTTAAGCCGGACCGCATCAGAATCACAAATACATACAATATGAGGCAGATAGTGCTTTTATTAATCTCATAAGCTGTCATTTTGGTACCTAGACTGCAGCTTACCGTTGCTCTACACATTTTAACTGAAATGAATTGAAAACATATGAATGAAGAATTTTTAAAACCATACAATTTTCCTTCAGCTTCACAATTATGCCTTATTTTGGAAGCTCCCTCACATAATTTCCAAGTTAAATGCAGTTACGGTTGTGTGTTTGACATGAATAAATGTACGAAAAGTTCAAGGGGTGTGGTGGCCGAGAAGCAGCCAAAAGAATCACAAAAGATTTAGAGCCTTTCTGTGAAGAAGAGAGGGACAAAAGCAAAGTCTTCATGGACGTGTGAACTAGGTGGCGAACTAGTAACAGACTCAGCTCTCTGCTTGCCAACACAAGTTTTTCAAATAAGTATTAAATCCCATTTTGCTGGGGGATCAAATTTTATCTAAACATTTTTGAACAAATTTCCAAAAATAAGAATGGGTTCAAATACTAATCTATTCATTGATAATAGCTTGTGATAACAGCTGCCACTCCTGAACAGGAGACGACGTCAGACCTGGGTCTCACCGGGGTTTAGGAGAAAACGGCCTGGAAAGCTGCTCAGTGTTCAAACCTTCACTATTAGCTGGAAGTGAATTTAACACGTGATTTGGAAACGTCCCATAGTTAAGAGTGGAAGAGCACAGAATTCAAGTTGCTTGATGTCTAGGTATTTTCCAGTCAGCGAAGATTTCAGGAATCGTGTCATCTTCTGCTTTCTGTAATCCCACTATTGGCCTGTATCAGACCAGCCAACAGGACATTTTATATTCATACTTCCCTCTGCTTTCTGCCTTTGTGGAAATGTGGATTTCATTTTCCAGCAGGGCTTGGCACCTGTCCACACCACCAAACATGTCAACACCTTTGATTGGCTGAATGACAATCGTATCGCTGTCGATTGGCCGGCAGCGTGACCTGACATAAAGCCTGTGATGACTCTATAGTCAAGAGGCTGATGAGAGACACCAGACTCAATGCAGATTAAAGCAACCTGTGTCTTTTATATCTCCTGTAATTCCAATTTTCATTAATTGTAAGCTATAATCATCTGTATTAATCTAAATTAAATATACCACGCTGTATAATGAACCTAAAAAACGTAGGAGTTTAATCTTGAACAGAATGAATGAAATAAATGAGCTTTTAGGTTATCTTCTGATTTATTAAGAACCTGAATAGCCGTATAATATATATGGTTCTGGTTCATTAGTTAATAAAATTCTTAGAAGAGGTTTTGTGGCAAATATTTCCGTATGGACATGTTTAGACTACTTAGAATAAAGATAACTAAAACACCAAACAAAGAAAGCTAAGAGGAGTTGAACTGAACTCGTCCAGAGAAAAGTTAGAAGGTCTAATAAAAATTGTAAAAAAAAAAAAAAAAAAAAAAAAATACTGGATATAATAACTCCAATAAGCAAAAAGTACAAAACTAAAAACAAGGAAAAGTTTAGTCATCAAAAGGCTACGTAGGCAGGTTTTTAGTGCTTATTACCAAATGTGTCACGACTCTATTTAACCTTAATCTGTGGAATCCGTGAGCACGTCCCAAGTATTTAATAGGACCACGGAGATGAATGCAAGTGTTTTTCCAGCACCAATTCACAGAGCAGCATCTCAAGCAACACCTGAATCAACCACATCATTAATATTAACTGCCCTGAACATGTGGCATTTCTGTCTTAACGATGAGACGCACTGCTAAGGTATGATTTGTTTATGTTTTGCTTGAAAGCTCAGACTTGCCACCTGTGTGATGTGGTTTTGGCCACGACAGACATTTGAATACCTCATCCATGCCTGCTCTCTGAATTTAAACCAGCTGAGGACATTCATTTTCCCAACAAGCGAGACAGACCTGGAGCACTGGGAACATTTTTCTTTCTGAAGACGCTTCTCGCGTCCAAAATGGTGTGCTTGAGCCCGGGCTCGGAAGGGGCAGAATACTTTCCTCCTGAGTTCACTCTCCACATCCTATAAAGTCTGCACGCTGGCACAAAGAGGTTTTCCCATTCGATCAGGAGGAGGTCATGTGTCGAACCTTGATTGTGCCAACAGGTGTGGTTTCAATAAAGCTGGGGACGTCTGGTTTAGAGCAGGTGCTGACCCACTTTTGCGATGTCGAGTTGTTTCGCCGAAACTTAATTAAAACGGTCCGGTGTCCTGTGCATTTAAGGAGTCGATACCCACCGTCTCGGTGACTCTGTAGATGTAGACCTTCCCTTTTTCCATGCCTGCACTGAAGAACATGGGGGCTGCCACCAACAGGTTGTCGGTGATGCCGTCTCCATCGATGTCCACGGGCGCAATCTCACTGCCGTAGTAGGAGCCGATCTGAAGCAGAAACCCACATGCGATTATAAGTCAAGCGTCTTATTTTAATGGCACATTTACATTTGAAGCAATGTTTTTTTTTTTTTGTTTTTTTCACATTCTGCCCTACGACAGCTAAATTTTCTACACACTTTTTGGATTTCATGTTAGAGACCAACACAACGAAGCACTTAATTATAAAATGGAAGGGAAAAGAGGCATTTTTATGAATTCAAATAACATTTTACTTTATGCTATGCTTTTATTACACAGCAAGCTGTAAGTGAAAACTTTGTGGGACCCAATTATAGATTTATAATTATGATTTGATCCGATTAGCTCTGGCTGTATGTTTGCAGCCTCTCAAAGGTTTACTTCTAAGATGTTAAACTTCATCCATCTTTCCACCAGCTCAGCTTCCATGTCCCACATTGAAGAAAAAACATTCTCACAGAATAATGCTGCCACCGCTATATTTTGCTCTCGGGGTCATATGCTGTGTTAGTTTTTCCTCCGGATTTACCGTTTTCCAAGTCGGCCACAAGGTTCAGTACTAGCCTCCCTCCATTTTTCCACTTTTTTGTCTTCTGCCCAATCAGGCTGTGGTTAATTTCCAAACAGATGTCTCACTTTTTTTTTTTCCCAACAACGACCTTCTTATTACCACTCTTCCATAAAATTCAAGATTTAAGGAGCAACAACTGCTTGTTTTCCTGTCAATAAATAGTTATAGCTAAGCAGTGAATCTTTATAGCAACTCCAGAGTTTAATTGTGTCTCTTTGCTGCTTCTCTGACCAGAGCTCTCTCTGTTTAGCTGGACGGACATGTCTTGGGAAATTTGCAGTTGTGTAATACTTTTTTCCGCCCCATTTTTTGGACATTGAAAGCTTGTCGTATTGTAACTTTGCTTAAAACTTTCTGTCTGTATTTTAGTCTTTAAGATGATTCTCGTCTTTCATTTTTTTTAAATCAACCTTTAATTGTGGACTACTTTGTTTTGGTTTGTTTTGGTTTTTGGTTTGTTTTGGTTATCACCCAAAATAATAATTAAGGCAAAGTAAAATGAAGCAAAATGACAAGATAAGGATATTTTTAAAGGGTTTAAGTACTTCTACAAGGCTCTATATTTTTATAACGCTACACAATGAAATCCACCTTATTAGTTTAATGATTTACTGATGGGCTTGAGTGTTTATTGAACTTGAATGTTGAAAGCAAGAGGCGGCATATGATGAGTCGCAGCGAGCCGAGGATCCTGATGGTTTTTGAGCTTTTAAAGTTTTATAGAGTCAGAATCAGATGCTTGAGTAAAGGGAACATCATCTAGTTCTTTTGAAACAGATTTGAAACATCTGGCTATAAAATGATACAAAAAGAGTTATTTGCTCCAGAGCTGTAAGTTCAAGGAATAGTTCAGTCAAAAAAAAAAAAACACAAAACAAAACAAAAAAACAAAAAAAAAACAACATCTGCTGCTCTGGATAACTTGTTGTTGACATGTTACAATGTACGCTGAAGCGAGATCATTCCAGGATCGCAGGCTGTGAAGAGCTGCCTCTCTTGTGCTCTTGTGTGAGCACAAAAAACGGCCAGATTCACAATGCTGGATTTGAACTTGGCTTTCTGCAGACACTGATATTCAACTTCAAGGTACCATCTGCAGCTCTCTGGGAGTCCCAAAACTCATTGAAACTTGTATCATAATGCAGTTCAATATGCCTTTGTAGTTTGGACTGCTGCAGTGGATCACAGACATTTTATTGAGCTCCAATTTCAAACTTACATTTTATTTGTATTTATGTAACTTGCACTGGACACATGAAAGGAAAATCTGCAGTTTTATATATAAATGATTTGAACATTATTTCTATACATACCGAGTAAACTATAGACAATATAGCTTCTAATGAAATGTCCAGAAAGAAAGATTTATATGAATCTATATTTTGCCTACATTTAAAATAAGTACGCAGGTTGGGTGAAAATCCCCATGTTAAAAGAAAATGAAATGAAATGCAATAAAATCTTTAAACATTATTTACTTCCACCTAAAAATAATTCGACTGACTCTGGTGGTTTCATGAAAATATGTTTTAAATGCTGTGTGGCTCAGTTTTAATTTATTTTCAGCTGCAAGCTTCTTTTTATTTGTATTTATATTGTGAATCTGGTCAACACTGATCAAATTTCAATAAAAATCTAGCTAATCTACTCTTAGATCTTGGTGGTTGGATGTCTTACATTTATGTTTATTTAAAATGGGACCGGTTTGTCTTATTTTTTCGTGGTGTTGGTAAAGTGGAGATGGCTGCTGTACCTGGTGGCCCTTGAGTGAGTGCAGGATGGTGAGGTTCCCCGTGTTCTTCAGGGTGAAGATAATGACTTTGCCCGTGTGGTTAAATCGTGGAGCTCCAGCCACGAGCAGACGGCCATTTCTGGATGACACCACAGATGTTACGGTATACCCTGAGGATGTAAAACAGTCACACACACACACACACACACATCATTTAACAATGGTTTACTCCCAGAATGCAAATCTGTAATGTGTTTTTTTTTTTTTTTTAGGTTTCCTTTCTCTCTTTTAATTTCTCATATCAAACCCACGATGTTTCCTCCATCGTCTCTCTATTTCAAATTCTGTATCATTTTATATAAGCTTAAGTTGGTTACTGTTGCCAAGGCAAACATTATAAATATCTTTAAAAGAAAGATGAACACTTTCTTACGAAAACACCTTATAGTTAAGACTGGTGTGGCTTTCCAGAGCCGGCTCTGTCGTTCTACTGTTTAAACATTTTGAGATAGTTGTTATTAATGCTGTGCATTCTTAGTTTCTCAAAAGATGTACCAATATTTTGTTTGTTTATTTGCTTTGTGTCCTCTTCTTGCTATAAACCAGTCATCCTGTCTGCTTGCTCGGCATGTGGGAAGTATGAAATCAGCTTTGACTCCAGAGATTGATTCATTTTACCAAATGACATTAGTGGACCAACTGTAGTGTACAATGTTATATTATAATTGGATTCAATTGGACTGTATGTAAACAGCTTTGAATAATTGTATTTTGGTGAATTGAATGGATTTGGTACCAATAACTGATCTCTGTACATTGGATATGATTATGACCCGTTTGTCCTGTAAAGTGCCTGGTTTGAAGTGTCTTTCTGTAAACAGGCAGAATGAAATCAAACAGCAACGCCAAACTATGTGGCAAATTCAGGTACAACTGAGTCACAATAACAGCAAATGTCTGTGGTGTTAAAACGAAACAAGGAAATATGTGCAAGAAGCAAACGAGAGACGAATAGACGTTTTGAAGGAGGGCTGCAGCTTGAAGAAGCGGATCTAAATCACTGCTCTTCCCCTTCAGCATAACTCAGTAAAAAAAAAGTAAACACAACCGAAGGCTCCAGGAATTAATGGGGAATTGAAGGAATCTACAAGGTAAACAAAATATCTTACTTATCCTACATGCTTACAGTGTTTTTTTTGTTTTTTGTTTTGCCTTACCTAAATATGCACCATGGTTTTTGAGCTCTTCAGGAAACTCCTGTGTGTAGGATGACTTTGGAGGGATCACCTTCCCCTGTCGCGTTTCCTTCAGCACCGCTCCGTTCCAGTCGTAAGCTCCAACTGCACCCACCAAAATCCCATCCTGAAGGTGAAACCCAGGAAAGTGCTTACACTCACACAGCATAACATCCCTGTGCAACAGTCAAATGGCTTACTAATTGCTGTGCATCATTACACTAGTGTATTACTGACTAGACATACACTATAGTGAGCAACACGCTGCAGTGTATTACTCACTAACCACCAAACTGGAGTACAGCAAGAGTCTGATTTACTGTGGTGAGACTCAACTTGTTTTGAAAATGGATGAACAAAAACTTATGAAGTGGCTTCATAGATTTATGTTGACATAAAGAAAAAAATAATACTTGTTTTTCTTAGTGCTCAAGCAGCGAGTTTTTGAAACATACTGCTAAATAAAAAGTGAAGTCATATGCACTAAATAACTTATCAGCATCATCCTGAGTTTAGCAATGCTGTGCAGAAAGCATGAACATTGTTTAAATTTATCATTATGAATGTGTATGTTTTTTCATACTGAACTCTAGTTAATGTCTATATTTTACACATTGTTTTATTTTCTACTTCTTAATCAAGGAAAAGAGTTGGAAGGTAATGATGTGATTCCTTTTGGCTGCACTTGATTCCAGGGTGATGCATGGCAACAGAAACTGTGAAATGTGATTAGTTAATAAGATTTTCAGGGCCAACAATGATCATTTCTGCTTTTCCAGAGTTCATATGAAAATAGTTAGTCATCCTTGCTTTCAATGCCATTAGACAGACTTGTGTTTTAGCCACTTTGCTAGTCAGGTTAGCTGAAAGAAGGTTGTGAATGATTTTTGTACTTTGATGACCTAATGTTTGAAATCCATCAGGAAAGAAGTGCAGGAATCATCCTGCTGTCTCTGCTGATTTCCTTTTCAATGCAGAAGAAAATTTGCAAAATTAGTTAAACAGAAATTGACACATAGCTGTCTATATTTAGATTTAATTTTTTTTTTAAATATTTTAGCAGACCCCTAACCTCACCAATATCTCATGTCACAATGTTTTTGTTTATAATCTTGGATTCTTTATGATCACACGCAGACTGATTAACTCATTTTACAGCCACAAAATGTGCTCAACAACCTGGCAGTGATCCAAACCACAGTGGCCTTTATCTGTCCATTTCCCATCTTAAACTTTCAAGACGGGAAAGAAAGCAGCGTTTGCAGCATTTAGCTGTAAACAGCAGGAGAATTGGGAAAAGGATTTTCTATGTTCCATGGCTCACCATACTTTGTATGTCTGACACGATAATTACAGGGTTCCCGTGCATAATGACTTCAGTTTTTTTTTCTTTTTTTTTTTTCTTCGTTGTACACCATATTGCCGACAACACACTTTCCAGCATGTGTGCGGGAGGACTTGTGATTTCCTCCTGAAGGATGGAACTGCGTGCTCACCGCACTCGGACGACGTCACTCTTTAACAGCGACGTTGTGCCAGTGTGGTTGTCGGCTTCGGCCAAAATGGTTTCTCCGTGGCCAATGGTTGAAATCCCAGAGCGGTTCAGCCTCATAAATGAGTGACCTACTTCTGCCATAGTTACATGTATGGACATATGGCCCACTTTGGTAAGAAGTTCATCTGGTTGTTGGTTTTATGTACTTTTATACACCTTGGATGGTGAAAATACAAAGTGCTTCAAACTCACTCAACGAACAAAGAGCGTGTCCTCTAAAGACAATCTAGCGTAAATACAATCTGACAACTTGTGTCAAAGCTGGAGCCTTCTTCTTATTTTTTCAGGAATAGTTGGAGGAAATTGCAGTGAGAGAAGGCTGGCTGTATGGAGATGCAATGAAACATCTGCAAAGTATATGACATAAGCCTCATTCAAAGTTGACACTAATTACACTCAGTAAAACCATCTGGGGCCCGAGGACTGTTTTTCTCTTTTAAACATTCTTTCCAAAACGTTATCCTACTTTCAACACTCGGGCTGGTGTTGTCGAGAATCTCTGGAATCTGGCCTTACGGACACAATTTCCAGCCATTCCTGCCACCCAGCTGCAAATGCTCCTATAGTTTTTATATTCTGAGTCGGATATACGTCTTTTTTCCCCTCGACAAAATCCAGTGGGAAATAAACTCAAAGTAGCTGCATTAGGATTTAAGTCTATGGCCAGAAGGAGAAGAGTGAAATTCGGAATGAAAGAAGCAGTACAGCAGAGGAAGCGTATCTTTCTTCTTCTTCTTCTTCCAGCTGTCCTGCGCTAAAAGCCAGCACACCTGCAGCCCTTCACTCTGAGATGCTTCAATACAAGCGAAAACTTCTAGGACATTTCAAGACGAGCGAGTCATTCTGCGGTAAAACTGTCTCAATCCAGTTATAATCCTTTACCAGTATGTTTCCCTTGGGGATACGAAGCGTCTTATTTCTCATCACAGCATAGTTGGAGTGGAAAAAGTCTGTCTATGTGTGTGTGTGCGTGTGTGTGTGTTCCTCTTGAATCAGTGTGAACTTTAACATCTGGGGCCATGGGACGCAAGTGATAAATGACCCGTTGTGAGGAGGGGGTTAAAAAGCGGCGGAAATTGAGACAAATTTGTGTTGTTTCACACACTGACAGATGACATGAGACAGCGGGGTAGCATCAGTCAGACTCACCTCCACGTTGTGTGCGGAAAAACCTGCCTGAGACATCTGGAGGCCAAACGCCGTCCCGTTCTTACTGGTTCCTGTGTAAACAACACTGTGTAAACAAGAAGTGTCCTGAAGCACTGCTGCCACAGAAAACTTCACTTCAGAGCAAAATTGCTTTCTAAAAGCAGCACATTGTGTAGTATCCTGCTCAGAATTTAACGCAAACGCAAAAATCAGTTTTTTTTCCCCCTCTGACATTTAGCTAATAGAAGAAGTGATTTTGGTCTTCCTAAATACTCTAAATCAGAAAGCTTTCGGTCTAATTAAATGTAAACGTCTGTTGTCAGCTGCATGCTTAAACACAGTTATCATTCTGCACAAGCTAAAAAAGACACTAATTCTGGATTTTTCTTTAAAGTTATTTGCTTATTAGAGTTTTTTTTTTCTTGGACATTACCTGCAGCAAACTTAAACTCAAAGTCGACATTTAAAATGAATCTTTTACCAACCTTCGAGGCTGAAGATCCGCTCCCCGAGAGCGTCAACGATATCTTTCAGAGCCGCCTCGTCTGTCACATTAAAGAAGTGCTTGTCATCGGGGTCGCTGGCGATGTACTTGATTTCATTAAGGAAGGTCTCCGGATTTATTCCTCTGCGGTTGTAGTAGCCAAGCACCTGCGAAGGTTAAGAGTTGACAAGCTGTCACGGTTGAGGCCCGTTCAAGGTTTCCGACTTCTTTTCTTTATACAGACGTTGATAAAAAATGGCTTTGACCTAAAGAGTTTAACAGGGTCTAAAATGATTTGCATCTGACCTCAACGAGAGAACAGAAAAGTTTTTATTTTTTAACCCTAAAACGTTTTTATTTATTAACCCTCCTGTGGTCTTATGAGACGGGGTCATTTAGGCCACACGATTTTTTTATTTTTTTGTGTAGTTTTGGGAATTGACGGTCTGACGGAACTACTCCTCCTATCATGACATTGGCCACGCTTCTTCTGAGCGTTCTGCTGAGATCACGGGAGGGTTAAGCAATGATATAGCAAAACTTGGAAAGCATAGAAATGTATAAGAAAAGAAAAAAGGAATACAAAAAATATTTAAGATGTAGTTAAAGTACACATGGATAAGCCGGAGGTAGCGTCAATCATAAGCTCTAACTCCAGAAGAAACACTTTTTGCTGAGGTACACTGTTAACCACACAGAGTTTGTAGTAGTTCAAATGGGTCACCTATGCAAGTGCCAGCTAATGTCACTGTTTCCAGCAGATATTCAGCCAATTGATTTTATTGTTTTTTGCTCAGACAGTGACAGAACGCTAAGCCGCAGTAAAAAAAAAAAAAATTAGCCCCACCAGCACTGGCACAAGCCACTGAGCAATGTGGTCTGGGAAGGATCATTTACACCTTTCAACTATATTTCCATATGATTATTGCTTGGGATTTGGAGAGGGTTTTGAATGGTATTACGAGTGATCTTAGCCAAGAAAATGGTGCATGCCAAATAAAACATGCAAATAATTGCTGTAGCAGACTCACAGCAATGGCATAGCGAGTGATGCCATCCTTCTCGCTGTCTTCGATGGCCTGCTGGAGATCTGGGCTGTCGTGTGACTCTCCGTCAGTGATGACAATCATTACCTTCTTAGCGCCACGTCGACCTCCTTGCTTGAAGGCTTGTGAGCTGCGAGAAGATAAATGTTTGGTTTCAGTCACACAAAAAGAGCTAGCTAAAAAGATTGATGTGCGGAGAGGTGCTGTACCGCGCTGTGCTGATGCCGAGAGCCGTGTTGGTCTCCTCTCCACCGCGCTGATCGATGCTGCGTGCCCTTTTTACCACCTCCTCCACTGATTTGTAGTCACTGAGTTTAAATTCGTGAACCACCTTCTCGCCATACTGGACAACTCCAACCTGGAATAAATAAGCATTGAGTAAATATGGAGGAAGGCTCAGTCTGGTTGACATACCTCAAAATAAGATCAGTTTTTGCTTTTCTTCAAACTAATATGGGATTAGCCTCAAAAATTTTAAAATCAGATTAAGATAAATTGTTGTTTTCATAATTAAAAAAATGCATCAGTGTTTAAAATTAAAACATTTAGAGGAAAAAAGATATCCAAACCAAAAAAGTTAATGCCTCATCCTTCATGATTTAATTGTGATTTACCACATTTTTCAAAAAACTTCATTCAAGTCACTAGGTAATTATTAAGTATCTAAAAGCTTACTGCAATCAATGACTTAGACTAAAAGATCTCAAAAAGCCATACCTGATTCACCAGAAAATATCTAAAAATATATTAGAAATGTCAAACATCCCTCAACCTAAGAAGGGTTACAAAGCCATTCGTAAGGTTTTGGGACACCAACAAAAACCACAGTGATGAGCACTGTGGAAAAAAACATAAAAAATCCAAAAACATAGAGCACATCAAGAGTGGATTAAAGACTGATCCAGGATGTCGCAGTAAGATTATAATCTTACAGGTCACAGAAAGTCATCAGAGTGACAGCTCCGAGACGAAACACACTGCTGAGCAACAAGAAACACAAACATCCGTCTCACATTTTTCCAAAAAGCATCAAGACTTTTGGGAAAATATTCTGCGGAACGTCAAGACAACAGGGGGACATTTGCAAGGCGTACATTACATCTGGTGTAAAACCAAACCCGGTCCTTCAGAACAATAAACATGACTCCTTCAGTCAAACGTGGTGTTGGATGTGGTAGAGTCTGGAGCTGCTGTGCTGCGTCAGGACAGAGGCAACTTGCTGCAGTTGATGAAACCACGAATTCTGGTTTCTTGTAGGAAATCTTAAAGGAAAATGTTTGGCAATGCGCTTGTGAGCAAACACACCAGCAAATCCACATTTGAATTACTCATGAAACCAGAAAACAGGTCTTAGAGTGGCATATTTCTGCACTTAATTCCAATTGTGAAGTCATTCATTTGCCATATTAGAGCTTTAAATCCTAAACTGTACAACAAAAGGGGTTCCTGTGAGAACGGCTCCTCAATGACGTAAAGGACACAGCGCCAGTAATGATCGTCTAAACTTGATGCCGCAAAAGTGGCAAAATCTGTTCTGAGGTCTAGGAGGCAATTACTCGTTCTCAAGGGCCAGGTTGGTTTGGATAGCTTTTTATCCCTTAATAATTGTAACCTTTGTTTGAAAGCTGCGTTTTCAGAAACTCAGCTTACTTTTGCCAGATCTTGAAATGATCTGACAAAAGTATTAACAAAAGTGATCTAAAAAAAAAAAAATCAAAAACTGTTTAAATCTGGCAAATACTTTTTTGCAACATCTGAGGTTTTAAAACACAGATATTGGATTTAATTCACTCTGGGTTTCCTCTTCTATAGCATCTGCACTCTAATGTTGTTTTCTGATTATGCCCACCTGAATTTGACCTGGTCCGACGTGGAACTTCTGGAGAATGTTAATGAGAAAATCCTGCACTTCATACCAGGGATAGATGGAGTTGGAGCCATCAAGAACAATCACTATGTCCATAAAGGTTTCACATCCTGAACATAAAAAAAAAGAAACATATGTTCATGTGTGCAAATATAATCCCCCTGCTGTGATTTAGAGCCATCGGTGGATCTTTGTCAAGCACGAAATATATTTTAAAGCTTACTCTGAAAGGCAGGGATAATCGTCCTGGAAAACTTGAAGCTTGAATTGACTTTGGAGCACAGTCCAGTGCTGTAGTAGGAGCTGCCACACTCATACGACCATAACGGCCCGCAAGCCTGAAATGTCAAAGAAAGTGTTTATGTAAGCAACAACTAAGTGCATTCTGTAAGAAGAAACTCAGCAGTGTAATCGTATAATCAAAAGACAATCTTGTGGGGTTGGCCTTTTTTCTTTTTCTTTTTGTCAACTCCCATTTCAATAAATATGTTTCAAGGAAGCATGGCTTCGTTTACAGTCCCACTCACCACGAAGCTGCTGTCTTTAGGGTTAGACACGAGCGTCATTCCCAGCCTCATCTTGTCCTTTCGTTCTGACACGTTGGTCAGCGATATCTTTCCTTGAAGGAAAAGGAATTTGACTGAGAGGATCTGAGGTGCACAGATTCATGCATGCACAGTCCTACAGAGAACAAACAGAGGCTCCACCATGTGGGACTGCGGTTTGTTACTGCTGTCTGGCCAGGCAGAGCAGTGTCTGCATCTTCAGATCTCAACGTTTACGCCACTAAACTGCGAGAGATTATCCAATCAACATCACATGTGCAACTCGTATGAAGAGGGCATGCAGTAAAAGCTGCAGTGTGGTGAAATGCACACATGGAAGTGTACATGAACCATTAAAAAGTGGAATGACTGGCATAGCACCCAGACTCCTGTTTCACAGAGTTTACTATGACTAGAATCACACATACCATTCATGTGTGGAGCACTGGGAGACAGCAGGGGAGCTTGAATTTTGCACTGATTATCTGCCTCATACTATACTGTCACATCATACTGACATTTTCAACAAATATGTGAAAAATATTTATTTTTATAAAAGTTATGTGATGCAATTTTTATTCTTTAGAAGGTAAATGAAAATGTATCAACTGTGCTTTAGTGGATGAATATGACCCAAGAACTGGTGCTGGTGGCTACATTTCCTCTAAACTTGGATTTGGTTAAGACACTAAACCCATCTTAATTTTACTCCAGTTCAAAGTCAGAAAACAGAGGGTTTTGCTAAATAACAGAAGGCTAAATTCTAGTATATCTTGGCTTTAAAGACAGTTCAGAATGCTTTCATTTGTTTGCAATTAAGACATGTAGTCTATCATGTGAAACTCTGGTGATGAGCTGCTATACTTTACCTAAATTGAGCTTTGAGCAGCTGTTGCCATTGGTTCTCTTGCTCAGTGCGCATTTATATACATCCCCTGTTTGGTAAGAACCAGTCATTTCATACGGCGCACCCACTAATAACCTGGAAACACAGAGAATTCATACGTTAGAAATGTGCGACTGCACTGCAAAAAGCCTTCAGGTGCTCCTTAGAGTTCGTAAACAGTACACAACTTCTCTCGTTCTCTCTTTCACTGAGCACAATGTCTGAACCATAACCAGCTCTCTGAGGGAATATGACCAACTATTAAATTCAATGACCCACACTAAGCACCTGGGTCGACTGAAGATTTTAAACCTCTCTTTTTCTAAGGAAGTGACTTTGTTTATTTACTCTGGCCACCAAAAGTCTCATATTGAAGAACTCGTTCACAGTCACACCCAGAAGCCACTTAGTGCAGCCAGTAGTTTCTACTTATCTAAACAAAATGAACTTCTTTGAAAAATCCGATAAAGAACATTAGGAAGATATGCGTGTTAGACAGGCATGTCTGTCTGCACATGAGAGAGAGAGAGTGCTTTACCATTTTTTCCCACAGTCGTCAAGAACATTTTTATAAAACTAAGATTTCTGTCTTTATTATTCCTCAAATAAATCTAGACAGATGAGAATGAAATCATATGATCCTCTGTGGTAAGTCATTTTTCTCTGGTTAGCATGAATGTCTACGAAATATTTCCGTCTGCACTTAAAAAGTGTTTTGGCAACAGATGTAAGTGGTTTTATACGAAATGACTGAATATACACAGATCAGGCATCACATTATGACAGTATAGAAGTCATCTTTTGCTGCCTAAACAGCCCTGATTGTTCAAGACATGGACTCTCTTTACAAGTCAAAACATGTTCCTTTGAGTCGGACATGTTTGTCTGGCAAAGAGACAATTTGAGAGAGAATTCAGAGCTAAACTCAAAACTTCGAGTTGATTGTTTCGCTCCTCAAACCAAACTTTTTGTTTTGTATACCTTAGTGGAAGCCACTGGGAGATGGTGCATGTCAAATTAACATCTGACCACATGAGACAACCTCTCATGAGACAACCACATGAATCAATGACCCTTAGCTGCCCATGACCCTGTCACCGGTTCACTGCTTTTGATGCATATTGACCAGGAACACCCCATCAGACCTACTGTTTTTCTGGAGATCTTTAGACCTGAGCTATCACAATTTAGCCTTGATCAACTTTACTAAAATTCTTAATCTTCCCCGTCTTTCCTGCTTTTTTTCACATAAACCTTGACGGTTAAAAGTTAATTAGTTGTGTAATATATTCTAATATTAACAGGTGTCATAATGAAGATGTGATCAGTATTATTCACGTCGCCTATACGTACCTATGATGTTATGTCTGTTCAGTGGTAATTGTGCATCTGCTTGTTCGTTTTTTTGTAAGGTACCTGAACTTCCAGCCAGTGTTGTGACGAGACACTGGAATGTCTGAGAAAATAACACGTAGCCTCATGCAGGCTCTTAGATCAATAAATGAAATCAGAGGAATTTTGCCACCACAGACCACCAAGCCCGCCCGCCGCAGATGTCTGAAGTCCTCAGTGAGCGGTCCTAAGAGCTGGACATTCTCTTCGGACCGTTTCATGTGTTTGCACATGAAAACACTTCTTGTCGAGAGTCAGCCTCTGACTGGACTCGGCAGCGTTGTGTGAGGTCAGGGTGCTCTCATGAATGTCTCCTATAAAGACTAACTGACCTGATGTTACAATGAACATGAGTCAACTTCAGAGCAAATTTAGGGCATGGAGACCAAATGCTTTTAAAAACAAAAGATTTCTTTGTTCCTAACTAAAATTGTGTTTCACTTACTTTTTTCAGTACCGACAGTCGCCTTAGGTTAGACTGCTGAAGTTCTGAGGGTTTCACATCTTTTGATGTTATAACTAACTCATTAAGCTTACAGCTCATTTGCAAATAATGCTATTGCACAACAGGATTATGATCCTTGCATGTTCAGATGTTTTCAATTCTATTTCTGTCATTATGTGCTAATATTTCTTGAAATATTACATCGCACTCGGTTTTCATAAATGTATCACGTATTTGACACAGATCAGGTACGTTTTTAACACAGACATTGTTTGAAGTAAAAATCGGAGGGAATGTAGCAGACATGGAATAACTTTGAGTTCAGTGGCACTGTAAAGGATAGACATTTGACACCACCTTATGGGAAAAGCAGACCACAGCCAGACTTTGATGAGGTCAAAGTCTAACAACTACTGTCAGATCCGCAGATTAAACTCATTCAATTTTTAGAAAAAGTGTGTACAGATAGGGAAATGTGGTTACATTCAGCACTGTCAAGGCAAAAGCAAACAATAAAAGGATAAAACTTTTGTATATTGTACAGTTTTGAGTTCAAGTCAAACCAACGGTTAACACAATGAACAGGCAACAAAAGCCCAAAAGGATACGGCTTGTAAGACAAGAAATGCTAAACTGTTGCTGTAAATTGCAACTAAATCTAAGTTTAGATCATCCCACATCGCTACCTAAAGGTTTTAAGACATTTGCAGTGTGCTACTGTGTAGCCGTTTTGTCACATAGACATCAAAGAATGTTTAAAGAAGCTGGTCTGAGGTTTCTCAGCAGGGGCCCCAGCGCCAAGGCACTTCACAGTGGGACATTTTCCATGCGAGATGCATTTTTACAACCTGAAATACTCTGGAGAGGAGCTCGACCGGATCATGCAGGGAACGGTGAACGTTCCCTGCGTATTCACTGGAAACCTGAGTGTTCTGTTTAGGCTGCAGCAAAGTGTAGGACACTGGATAAGGACCCCTGTGCGTAATGAGAGTTTTGAGCGGCGGATTTTCCTATGCATTAGCAGATTATTCCACTCCATTTTTGCAGTTCCAACTGCTGAAAACATCTGCAAAAATCTGAGGCCTCTCGCTCCTCTAAAAATGTTTTATTGTAGCTAACAAATCCTCTTGATTACCTAATAGGATAAAAGAGAGTAAGGTGGTATCTGGCTCGGATTTCTGGTTTGCAGGCCTTTTTCTGTAAAGACCCGGTGATTGCCTGAGAAAGACCGCCATGGAAAGAATGACTGAGAACTATTACAGGCTGTTGCATTTGGACGGTCTTTCTCTTCAAACAGTTACAGAAGCAGACTCTTTAGTGGATAATTTTTTCTTTTTTCTTTTTTTTTTTTTACTGGTTATGATCTAACATATTGCAGCAACAACAAAAGGCGAAATGTTCAAACCGTCCATCACTGGACATCAAAGAGTGACTCATATGGGAGCAAGGCTGAGTGTTATTGTTCATGTGGCCAATTTTTAAAGTCTCTCAGAATCTGGGAATCATCTCACGATTATGGATCCAACGGTGCTCATATTTTCATTGCTATTAATATCATGATTATTACCGCACTCGTTGGTGTCCCTTATGTGTCTTCGGTTCAGTTCGGGACAGATCAACCTCAGTGGAGAGAGCGGGGAGGAAAAGCAGGGGGATTGCTGCCGTTTAGTTAAATCGGATCATTTTGTGGACGCAATTAAGATTTTATCAAAACGGCAAAAATGGCCATCCAACACGTAGCCTGACCCAAAGTAAATGCACGAGCATTTCAAACCGTGGTTACCAGGGAACACAGGATTTTTAGGGTTTGAGGAAGTGCCATGCCCAAACCCAAGCTGCCATTAATGTGGTAATGTTTTTCAGACTTGGAGAGGAGATGTATACGCTGTGAAACCACATCCCTGCTCCAAACAAGAGCTTCTGCCTGATGTCACGCTCTCCCATAACATTCCATCCATCTACATTAACAAGATAAGTGGGCTTTTTTTTTTTGCTAACACTGTCTTATAAATCAAGTGAATTGTAATGGTGACGTTATTCTTTTTTTTAAAGACATTTATTTTGTTTGTCCAGAATGCCCAAGAGCAATGTGGGAAAATAAGACTCATGATGCAGTTAAAGGCAAATACTGGTTACTGTAAACTGTTGTCACCAAAGAGACCTTCAGTTTTTTTTTTCCCTTCCTAAGGATAAACATTTCTGGTCATATAATTACAGGCTCATCAGAAGAGCAGCCATTGAAAAAAAGCATTGCACCAGTTTTTCCAATTGTTGAATATGACTGGCACGTATATGTACGGGTCCCACTAAAAGAGCATTATTGACCTTATCAAGTATTTTTGGCACAATCAGCAAAATATTCCCCAGATATGTATGATACACATACATATCTGGGGAAATTTTTCAAACCGTTTCCATGAAACACAGAGGAAAATCTTCACAGATGGCACCACTAAGGATGATCTGAGATCAGGAAGACAGCTCAGTCTGATGCGTCCGTTTAAACTTATAAAGCTGCTTGTATTACTCCTGCAACCGTCACTTGTTATTAATTCACAACTTTTCCTACACAGACATCAGTTCAATAACACTATATTCCCAATCATCTTGCATCCTAAAATGTGCTCCCGTCTGTACTTATAGAGTTGTGCTTTCGTCCTCTTTTTTCTATACATGCCTAAAAATGATCTCTAGTTTATGTCTCTTATTTCCAAACCTTAAAACTCATTTCAATAATTTAACGGATTTGGCATTATAGAGTTAGAAAACATTTCTTGAACCTGGGATTTACAGCACCCTCCACGTTTATTTCACCCACCACTTTGTTATTAATAAAATGAGCTAATCCCTATAAAAAGTTTTAAATGCATGGATTAAATGACAAGTTGATTTAGATTTTAGCCATTACCATGGAGTTGGAGAGGGTAAACAATTGCTAAATCCCGTCTTAAGGATTTAAAATGGTGGAATATATTGAACCATTCGTGTTCCAAAACAGAAAATACAACTACAAAATCCTAAAAAAAAAAAAAAAAAAAAGGGATTTACTCAGAGGTTTTCCACTGAGGTCTGCCTGGGTGAAATAAATTTAAAGATTGATAGTGTTGCAGTAGAAAAAGGACACTGTCATCACCATGCTGTATTTACCCAAAGAGCTCTGTTTTGGACCAGACAGTGAAAAGTCGCACAATGAGAGAAAAACAGAAGGTTAATGACGTGCTGGAATGCAACGTCAAAAAGCGTGTGGTGAGTACAGTACCACCCTGCAGCCTATGTATGACCCCATAATGAAATGCTGTAGTCAGAGAATCATGACATCTTTCTGAAGATTGCATGCATTTACTACTGAGTCAGAAAGATCACATAAGGAGCTTTCAACTCATGAACATAGATGATGCTTTTTTTAATTTCAAATCAGGAATGAAAATATATCCAAGAAAGTGTTTTGTGAAAGTGCCAGAGCAAGTGCACAGAGGAAGTCCACTTTTACAAATAATCCTTACATAATATCCCATTTGGCCTTTTGTTTTTCTTCAGCTCCACTCCAAAGGCGTTCAGAAATGCATGGTGAAAGCAGAGTTTTTAAAACCTTTGTTAAGATGGCGTAAGGAAGAAAAAATAAAAATAAAAAATCGAGGTCCATTCCAGCAAACAAGTTCAAATAAAGGAGACACAATCTGAGACCAGCGGCAATTGACTTCATAGACTCCCTGCAGTTCTCAGTGATGTGCAGCTAATGAGCAGAGGTCAGGTCTCAGCTGAGTACGACTGTAGAAAAATAAACAGTGGGATACTGAGTGGGAGGCTTCTGTGGCGCACAGCTTAAATATGCAGGTTTAAGTTTCCCATCAGCTTATCTGGAGGCCTATTCTCAGCTCTCAGAGGAGAGAGTCTGCATTGGCAAAGTGCTTAAAAGACTAAAGTTTAGTGTAGACATGTAGGGAACGGCTCATTGATGACTACAGTTCCTTCATCTTCATAGCCATGCGCAGTCGTGAACCTTTAAAGTGACAACTTTTTGATGTAAACAATTTGATTAAGTTTCAGCTAAATTTTGATCTGCTATGAAAAATAAAATGCCAACGACTGCCTTTGCCTGGAAAATAATTTCCTATTTCAGAGAAATTGATGAAAATTCTAACTCTACTTTCCCGCCATCAAAGACATCTTTGAACTCAACAGCATGTCTGCCTTTCTTTGGGTTCAAGTCGTGATAAACCATTATAACAGAGCCGAATTCCCAGCTGGGAATCTGCTTGTATCTAAAAACACGAGTGTTTTCAGGACGCCAACAGCTCTGGAAAAGTTGAGTGTAAAACTGTTTAGCATAGACACTCTCTGCCAACGTCGTTAATAGTAGTAATTGTGATTTATCTCAAAGCTCGGTTGATGTGGGAGCAACTTCACATGCAAAACTGAGTTTGGAACGTTAAAAGGGTGAGGATGTGACGATGGGATGATTTATGGCTGGTCAGGCGCTAAATTAATAAAAAAAAAACAACTGCATAACCTGTAAGATAATGCGACGGCTGTCACTCAGCCAGCTGCAGGACTTAAAATCAGATATTTGATCCAATTCAAGTCTTGGTTTTTCAACTCTAATCTGGAGAAGATCTTTAAATGAGCCCTTAATGTACAGATTTGTTAGAAGCTAACATGTTTTGGTATTAAATTTGTTGCTCAGTCTATTAGTTTTTATGTCAATGCATTGAGTTTTGATGGAATCTTTATATCACGTTTCATTACAGTACAATAACTTTACCTTAAACATCGGAAACAAAATTCACATTTCATGTCTCTGTTTATATAGCAGAAAAATTTCAACTTACGAAATTAGATTTATTTTTAAATTAATTTTACTATTAAGTATTATAAGATTATGGAGTTGTGGATATCAATCTTTTCCCCACTGGTAATTGTGTTAACATTTCTGTCTTACTATGGAATTTTTCCCTGGCAAAAAAAAGGTTAGATTTTTCTGAAACACCCAGTCTGGGATTCTGCTGCTGCCATAAAAGATGAATTTACTTTAAAGGTTGTTTATACATCATTACCACTCGTGCCAAAAGGTGTTGGCGTTTCACCATCGCTTCTGGGTTTTCTTTTATCAAAGGATTCAGTCTCTTTATATGAAAAAATACTTTTTTTTGGGAAGGGGGAGGGGGGGGGGCAGAAGGGTGTTCTCCAGCTGAGAACCGTCGCCCTCAGATGAGCAAACAAACACCGTCTTGCATGAGCGATCGTGCAGCTGTCGGTCCGTACGGCAGACCTCCGTTTTCAAATCTACAGGATGACAGCGCCACCAGCTTGAGAAACAGACAGGCCAAAGTGCAACACAAACAGGATGCTCAACGCTGTAGATCTCTGTTGGTTAGAACCGGAAAAACACTTGACTAGAAACAAACACCAAAATCTGTACACTTTTAACCACATTAATCTTCTTCTATGCTTTGTATTTTTTTTTTTTTTTTTTTTTAGGAGGTGAGGGGGGGGGGTGATAGAGCTATTCACCTCCTATTCATTGTATGAGCAGCTAACAGAGGTGCTCAAAAGGTATCAACAATATATTTCCATCAATATATATGCTGCGTGGACAGTCTGTACAGAGCTATTCTTCCAGTAAAAGAATGTTTCCACTTCATTCTCAGACATTTACCTCAGTTCAGGCTGCGTCTCTGGTGTCCTTCATTCCACATACGTCAGCCTCATCAGGCCCTTCTCACTTCTGGTATGCACAGTTTAATTTAAAACCAAAAAAAGTTTCATTTCAAAGTGTGATGGGTAGTGTTGTTCAAATTGAACTGGCAGCTCGCGCAATTCCCCCCGCCCCTCTCTCAGACTATTTGAGGTCTGGGGCAGCAAAAACTACCATGCCTCCATAATCACAAACTGAATAACCACCAGAATCCTAACTCTACCTTCAACGTTAAGCTCCAGCAGACTTTAAAAAAACAAAAAAAAAGCAAAGAGCTCTTTCATGCCCCAAAACAATTTCCTATCTGTGAAGACTGTTAGGTCATAAGCGCCCCATCAGTGTTGCAAGGATCTGGGGTTGTAATTCCTGAGAACCGACAAAATACCAAGTTCTCCTTTAGATGAACATAGTATTCTGACACTTTTCACACGCTCCCTTGCATAAAACAACTCAGGCCTCATATTTCAGGCTGCTCAGAGGTCAAGGAGAACGGAAACCTTGCCATGAGGGACACTCAGAGATTTTTTAGCAAGGGAAAACAAGTTAAACGTGGAATTTACAACTACAAGTACAGACGTATGAAAACACTGTTGATAAAAAACTTAAGGAATAAAAATGGCATTTCTCAGTTGTTTGTTTCAGAGTGTTATTGTTACAGTAGCTTAATTAAGTAAAAAAAAAAAAAACTCTGTTGGGATATTTGGTTAATTGGAGTTGGTACTAAGGAATATTTACGTTGCATTGGAAAAGCTGGATATGACCTTGTCAAACAGTTGCTGAGGTAATTTGCTGCAGGACACTTTATTTCATTCTTTGCATCGATGAAACCTTTCACATTTGTCCAACTGCTGAAAAAAGTAGCTGGGGGAAAGAAAATTATAAATATGCACTGTGCCTCGCAAAGGTTTTCATATTCCATTAAGTTTTCCATGTTACAACCACATCATCGCCGTATTCTACATACAGTGATGCTGTACTACAAAGTACTCTATAATTATGTCGTGGAAGAAAAATGAAACATAGTTCTCAAAACTTCCCACTAAAAACGACAAAAAAAATCAAAGCTCACAGCATTCAATCCCTTTTATTTTAATATATTTAAATTTTTAGACCAAGGAACAAATCAGACAGATCGGCGATAAAAAGCTACAAAGTTATGAAACGTCATATGAAGCTTTGAACATCGTAGACATAGTAGACAGAGCATTTCACAGCTGGAAACCTCCACAACACCTTAAATATGCAGCCACAGACATAATGAAAGGGTTTAGATTGGAGCACCTTTACTTGTTAGAATGGCTTAGTCAAAGTCCAGATTTAAATCAATTTGAGAATCTGTGGGAAGAATTGAAAACTAAGCTACACAGACTCTCCATCCAACCTGACTGAGCTTGAGGTGCTATTTTTTTATATTTTTTGCTACACAGGAGTTGTACTAAGAGGTTGAGTTACCTTTTAGGTATTCATTTAGAATCAGGTATTAAATAAAATGTAAATAAAATACAGTTTAAATAGTTTAAATATGACAAAAACAAAGAAAAAAAAAAACAAGCTGTGCAGTTTCCTGTAATGTTATTGGTACAACTGTGACGTTTGTCTTTCATAAAACTGGATCCAAACTTTTCGAACACAGAAGCTTTTGAAAAGTCAAACTAAAAAAATAAATAAATAAAAGACATGATGGAAATTTAAACTTCTCAAAAAGCCAGCACAATCCTTGCCAACAGACTCTGGGAATGCCAGAATCTAATTTTGGCCACCACATGGAGCCAGAGGACCTAATAATAGTGTGCAACAGGAATCAGCATCGGTTATGAGGTAATATGATGGATGCAAGGAATTCAGGTCAAGGCTACAGTTTGTTTTGCAAGTTCAGGTTAACGGGAGGAAACTTTGCGCAGCCCAGGAGAGGTACAGTAGATCACCATCTTTCCAGGGAAGGAAAAGAAACGAGACATCCAGCTGTCCTGCTGCCAGGTCAGACAGTATTTCAGCACTACAACTTGTCAGCATCTGCTTCACAGTCATAATGTACTTGATCTCTGGATCGTATCCATCAAACCCTTAATGTAAATTCTCTACGACAAAACTTAGGACATAAATCGGCACAAAAAGAGTTCAAAGTTTGAATCGAGCCATCCAGGTGGATTCCTATTGCTTACCAAAGGCTAGAAAAATGCGTCCCAGCATCCAAAAAGATACTTTTTAATCACTGGAATCAGATTATTAAAATCCAGGCCTCAATAAAGTGTACACTGTAAGCAATATGAAGCTTTTTAATAAAACAAACATTTTTTGCTTATTTGTAGGAATGCTGACATGGATGTTTGATAAATAAGCAAAAAAAAAAACTGACAATGAATCAATTTTCATGAACAAGCATTAGCAAACTCAAAGAGTTTTAAACTGAACGGTATTATGACACAACCGTAAGCATGCAGGAAGAAATATCTGCCTCTTGTATTTGTAGAAGCGCTGTATAAATTGCTTAAGTCCCTTACCATTTTTCTCCTCCTGCAGCAACATGTTGCTGAATAGTGTATCCAAATTGGGTTTGCTTTGGACCTTTGATGATTCTGGGCTTTTTTGTGTCAATATTGAAGCAGTCATGGAACCCTTGAAAAAGAGAGAAAATAGATTTAATGTCAATGAAGTACATCCAGTTCTTAGGACAAACTTTTGCGACATCAAGTTGACACAGACATTTTCTGCATGACTTTGTCTCTCACATCACTGTGGAGGAATTTATCCCTCCCCAAATGTTCTTCCCTACATTTCTTCAGTTCAATAAGGTTGGAAGACATTATTTCTCTGCCAAAGGCTGACTGCTCTCTTTCGTCATTAAAACTGGAAGTCGTACCTTATCGTATTTTTTATATGAAGTTCATCTACCTATTCTTCTCCCGTCTCTCATTTTCCTGTCATTTTTAAAAATATGGTAGATAAGGGACTATTAAGAGGAGACCTTGAACCATTTATTTTTTTCGATCGTTTTCATTCTTTTCAATGCGCAGAAGAAGAGTACCTGCTGCCTGTTGTGCAAATGGGACACAGCACTGCCGTCTATCGGGAAGAGACAGAACTGCATCCCCCTGCGCATTTTCACTATGAATTTATGGCCTGTTAGACTTAATATTTCACTCACATTCATTAAATGTACTTGATAGATTGTGACACTTCAGAATACATACAACATGTATATTTAAATAATTATACTGGTGATAACAAGAGAGGCAGCAATGGGCATGCGCCAACTGCCTGCTTCTAAGTATGTTAGGCACAGCGCCACCAGTGAACTGCATCATCCAGGACTTCTATGTATTTGAACAGGCAATGCGTAAACTCAGCGAATTTTTACCATAAAAACTTTTACCAACAAAACCCGTCTGTTTCACTTCCCAT